TGTGTGTGTGTGTGTGTGTGTGTGTGTGTGTGTGTGTGTGTGTGTGTAGGCTGGAGCCAAGACTGTCTTGGAACTTGTGATTCTCCTGCCTCTCCCTTTTTTGTCTCAGGATTACAGATCTGGGATATCATGTGAGGGCTTATCATAGAGTTTCATATCTATCTCATCATTATATCTCCTTGCCTTGTTCATTTTCTTTCATGCTTGTCGTGTCTATTCCTGGTGCTTACTTCTTCTTGCATGGAGTTTTAGAATCAGCTTTCCAAATTTAACAATGGATTCCCTATTGAAATCTCAACTGGAATTACACTGAAGAGAACTCCTTATCTTTATAATACTGATCTTTCACTCTCAAACAGAAAGGCTAGAGATTTCGCTCAGTGGACAAACTGTTTGGCATGCAGTTCAGATCCACAACACCATAAAAAAAAGAACTGGGTGCATTGGACACGGTACAGTGCAAAGGAACACAGCATTGGACTCCATATAGCCCAGCTGATCTTGAACCCTGACACTCCTTGCTTCTACCTAGGCGCTAGGATTACAGGTGTGTGCTACCATGCCTGGCTTGGTTCTTTGTTTTGTTTTGTTTTGTTTGAGACAGTGTTTCTTCGGGTAGCCCTGGCTGTCCTCGAACTCCCTCTGTACACCAGGTTGGCCTCAAATTGAGATATCTGCTTGCCTCTGCCTCCTAAGTACTAGGATTAAAGGCATACAATATCATGCCCAATGGCTTGGTGCATTTTATTAAAAATATTTTTATTTATGTCTGTGACTATGTGTGTCTGCATGTATGTGTTCATTTGAGTGTATACACACATGGGTGAAGGTGCCCTTTCAGGCCAAAAGAGGGAACCAAATCCCTTCGAGTTAGATTTACAGGTGGCTGTAATCCACTCAGTGTGAGTCCTGGGATCTCCAAGTTTATGCAATCGCAGCAAACATGCTTAACTGCTGCGCCATTTCTACAGCCCCATCAGTTGACCTTTTCAAATGTTGCTTAATAATGTGACATTAAACCAGTTAATTAATTAACATTCAGGAGGCATAAAATAACAATTTTCTCAAGTTAAAAAAGTATTATATATTAAATTTAATTCTAGTTTTCATACATGTTATTTTATTATACTTAAAATTTTATTACATGTGTTTATTCAGTGTGTCTGTGTGTGTGTGTAAAAGCATGTGTCATGTAGAGGTTAGAAGACAATTTGTAGAAGCTGGTTCTTTCCTTCTATCATGTGGGTCCCAGGGATGAAATTCAAGTCATCAGGCTTGGCAGCGAGATCCTACTCACTGAGCCTTCTTGCCAGTCTTATTTATTCATTTTGAGACAAGGCCTTGCTGTATAGCTCAGGCTGGACTTCCTGCCTCTGCCTTCTAAGCCCAGGGCTTACTACCCTGTCTCACCATACCCAATTGTATTTCAATTCTTAAAAAAAATAGTGTATGGGTGTTTAGGTTGTGTATCAGTTCACATGTGTGCAGTGCTCTTGGAGATCAAAAAGGTATTGGGTACCTTGGAACTGGAGTTGCAGACCATTATGAGCTGTCATGTGGGTGCTGAAAATGGAACCCTGGTCCTCTGCGAGAGCAGCCAGTACTCATAACAGTTGAGATATAAGTAGACTCCAGCCTCCTTGTTTCATTTCTTATGCCTCATTAATAAATAAAGTAAAATATTATTTTATGTTTTTATCTAATTAGGTTAGGGCCTCTCAGAAGTGGCCACATGGTGAGATCCAATCTCAAATCAAATTCCCACAAAACAGAACAAAACCTGTCATTATAATCTAGGTATACATTTTTAGAATTTTTAAAAGCTGCTTAGTTCATTGTGACGATAACTTTTTTGTTTGGTTTTTGTTTGTTTGTTTATCTTGAGATAGGGTTTTTCTGTGTAGCCTTGGCTGTCCTAGACTCACTTTGTAGACTAGGCTGGCCTCAAATTCACAAAGATCCACCTGCCTCTGTCTCCTGAGTGCTGGGGTTACAGTTGTGTGCCACCACGCCTGGCTGACAATAACTTTTTAAGTGGTAAAATCATCTTCCTGGAAAACTAGGCTGTTTCACACTTCCAAGTCATAAAAATAGACACCAGTGTCCCCAGATGACATCACAAAATAACCAGCAAACAGCAAATCAGTCTCCCCTGACCGAAAAAGCATTTTTTGTCCTTCTCCCTCCATACAAAGCATAGTAACTATAGTTAAAGTGCTGCAGAAATGGCTCAGCAATGAAGAGCAAGCATGGCTCTTGCAGAGTTTGGTTTCCAGCACCCAAGTCTGGCAGTTCACAACTGCCTGTAACTCCAGTTCCAGGGGATCTAATGCCTTTGACCTCTGAGGGACTTGCATTCACATAAGTCTCCTCCACATGCACCTCCACAGTTCATGTACATACATATAATTTTTTTAGGCTCTTTAAATATAACCACAGTCGGGCTGGACAGATGGCTCAGTGGCTAAGGGCAGTGGCTGTTCTTCCAAATGTTCTGAGTTCAATTCCTAGTACCCATATGGTGGTTCACAACCATTTATAACTGTAGTCACATGGGATCTGATGCCCTCTTCTGGTGTGCAAGTGTATATGCAGGCAAACCACCCATATACCTAAATAAATGAATCTTAAAAATAAAACAAACAAACAAACAAAAAAAAAAACAACTAAATATAACCACAGTCAAGGAAGTCAGGACAATATGAGGCAGAATCTGAATTCATATAACCTGGATTCAAGGGCTGATGAGGCACCCTGGCAGTTCAGGGGTTTGGGTAAATGATCCCCTGACTCCAATTCTGTCTTCTGTCAAGCAAGGGGAAGTGGAGTGCTAGGTTTCACAGGGATAATGGGAAACGTTCTATGTTTGTCAGTCATTCAAAAAGTGGTATTTACTTTTACCAACCTAGCTGTTGATCATAACTCTTCATTCATTCATTCATTCATTCATTCATTCATTCATTCATTCATTCATTCGAGACATGCTCTTGTGTAGCCTAGACTGGTTTTAAACTCCCTATGTAGCCAAGGATGACTTTGAATTTCAGATATTCTTGCCTCTCCTAGTGTGCTAGGATCACATGCCTGGGTTATGTAGTGCTATGGATAGGACCCAGGGCTTTGTGCATGTTGTGTAAGCATTCTGCCAACTGAGCTGCATTCTCATCCCTTACTTAACTTTATATTAAAAAAAAAAAGTGTGTGTGTGTGTGTGTGTGTGTGTGTGTGTGTGTGTAGGCCAGAAGTTGGTGTAGGGCTAGCAAGCCCTAGGGATCCTATTTTAGCTCCTTGGATTAGATATGTATATTGCTGCACCTACTCTTCTAATGTGGGTTCTGTAGATTAGACTTGGGTCCTCATGCTTGTGAATGCTGTACCAATCGAGCCCCATTGTCAGCCCTGACATATTTTTAGTGCTGCCGTGTTTGGTCACTATGATTACTCTCCAGGTTTGTAAAGATCAGTCTTCCAAACAGCTTTGTTGGCCATATGTCCAAAATATTTTTGCCTCCCTTGTTCCTGTCCACACACACAGGATTGACGAGGTGTACACAAACACACACGCACACGGTGGCTGTTGCCCCGCCCTTTATATTCAGATCATGCACATAAATGCAAACAACAGAGAACCCACAAGCTGGGGTCCACGCTTGGGCTTGTCCACAAAGGAGGATCATTGTCTACAGATACGTTCCAGCCCTCTAACAGATCCCAAGCCACCCACACTGCTTGATCCAGCCACGCAGAGCCTACCCACTGGCTCCAGTATGGGCAGGCATGTTATTCTTGCTTCCTTTAGCGATGATTTTATTTTAGTTGTTTTTGTTTTTGTTGTTCTAGAGAGTTTATCATCTGTTCCTCTTTCTCCCTACCCAGCCCCCAAACCTCCCCCCTCCAGCTTCCATTGCGCATGTGTTATACATCCCTCCCCCATTCTGGGTACCAGTTGGGCGCTTTCAGGTGCAGGAGGTTGAAGAGATGGAGCAGCTTCCTCAGCAGCGCCCGGCCTCTTAAAACACTGCTGACCTGAGCCTCCTTCCTCCCCGTAGCCTTCAGCAGAGATGGAGTGAAATGGACCCCTCGACCTGCCTCCGGGGATCAGCAATGGAGTTAAAGCAATCTCTATCTGTTCATCTGGAAGCCGAGAAGCCTCTGAGGCGCTATGGGGCTGTGGAGGAGACAGCATGGAAAGCAGAGGGACTGGGAAGTGAGTGTTCGGGCAGGGAACGGGTGGGGACAGTTGGGGACTCCTGTGCTGAGCTGGGGGCCCCCTAGAGCAGAAGGGAACGCGGGAGAACAGAGTGGAGAAGCGCCCCCGCAGCCGGGCTTCCAGTGTTGCACAGCAGCAGTGTGCGTCTTACAAACAAAAGAGGGGACCCTCCAGGGCTGGGCTGCACGGGAGGCTCCGCAGGAAATCGGGAGGCAGCTAAGCCTGGAGGCGCCTGGGCTGGACTAGGGCTGTCTAAGATCCGGCACCCGGAGGCTGCTTTTGCTATGGACAATCTTTCCTGCAGCCCAGAAAGGAGGATGCTAGGGTTTTGGGATTCTTGAGGGCGCAGGAGCCAAGGGCCAGCTTGGAAAGCAACCACATACTGGAGATGGGGGAATGTCTGCTTGCTTTTCCTGCCTTGAGGTTCAGGGCATAACCGAAATCCCGGCACCTTCCCACTTTCTCCTGGGTCAGAGGAAAGGTGAAAGTGCAAACAAGGGCAAACTCAGCACTGTGCACACACACCCACTCTGTTAGCCCTTGACTCAGTTTGGTTTGGGTCCAGCCCTCAGAGGTGGTTTCGAAACAGACCTCTGTACGCACCTGTTTTCACTGTGGTGTTTTGGTATCAACAAACATCTCCAAATAAATCCGAGACTTTTGCTTTCAATACTTGATACTTGAAACTCTGCTAAGTGTGGAGGTTATCTGAAAAGTCTAGGGTGACTTATGTCCCTACAGCTACGAGGGCTTCCTAGTGCCCTCCACCCACCTCCTGCTATGGTATGCTAGCCCAGCAGCCTTGGTGTGGCTTGCCCAGCAGCCCTGGGGTATCCTGCCAGGCTGGAGAAAACTCTCTTGCTTTCTTAGGGGCCTGCAGCCACCTGCTCTGATTCTGGGTCCCTGGGCATAGTGCTCTTCCAGCACCAGTCCCTGAGTTATGTGTATTTAAAGTATTGTAAATATTCTCCTTTCCCATCTTCACTTGGGAGAAAGTGTGTGTGTGTGTGTGTGTGTGTGTGTGTGTGTGTGTGTGTACATGAGCATGCACACGTAGTTGTTTTCTGCATATTTGTAACTATGGACTCAACATCTCAGCTATATAGTGTTTGAATTTCAAGTTCAAATGTCTTCATTCCTGCTATGATGGGTGTTCTAACACTTCCACCCTCTTTCCTTCTTTCATTTTATTTCTTCTTTTAAGACCTGGGTCCTTTATCCTGCTTCATCCTTCCTAAACCCTTTGGCTTTGGCACTTTGAGGTAACCTAGAGGTTGGTTTACAAGCTCAAAATGATACCACCAGTGGTGGCTTTTCATTGGTAGATTGCCACATCCTGAGAACTTCAGATACACTGTCTCATTTAATCCTTGCTATAGCCTTGTGTGGCACTGTGATGCCTCTTGAATGGATGAAAAGGCTGGGGCTTGCTGGGTAATACAAATGATAGGCCCAGAATTCAGACCCAGATTAGTTGGACTCCACATATTTTTCTTGAAGGTTTACTGCTTTCATAGTTTCAGGAACCTTCCTGGGTTTGTTTCAGAAATGGTCAGTGATTTTATAAGCAGACAGTGGCCCTGTTGGACCCTGCAGTCCAGTGCTTGATAGAAGGCTGGGTCCCCATAGAGTAGAAGCCAAGTACAGTTGAGGATCCCTGGCTTGGCTAGGGCTCTGCTCTTTGGCTGACAAAGTGACAAGGTACATTTCTGTCTTCACTCTGCCTCTGTTCTTTGAAAGTGGGGATAATAATATCACATACCATATGGCTTTATCATGAATATTAAATAAGATGGTCCATGCAAAGCTCAGGTAAGTTCTCAAAACAAAGCATGTTTCAGTAGTTCCTCCTCCATCTGTAGAGGGAACTCACTTTCATCCTTTCCACTAGACTGCATAAAGCAAGACTCTGGGTTAAAACTGCAATACTGAGCACATCTCTGTGAGTACAAGGCCAGCCAGGTCTACATAGCAAGTTCTAGCTGGGCCAGGGCTATAAAGTAAGACCCTGTCTCAAAATAAAAACCAAAAGCAAACTGAAATATTGAGAAGATCCCTAATAGCATTCTCTCCCCCACTTTCTGCCCCTGACCAAGGTCTCATATAACCCAGATTGGCCCCAAACTTTCTGTAGTCAAGGATGACCTTGAAATTTTCTGCCTTTCTTCCCAGGTCCTGGGGTACAGGTGTGCAGGGACACACCAAGCTCCTTCTCTTCAGCTTCTTATTTTCTCGCCTTTTTTATTGGGGAAAACCAAATTCAAGTGTATGGGAAAAACTGAGGAAGAATTCAGTTTATACTGTGTAAGTCCCTGAAATTTTTGTATTTCTGAGTCCTGCCTGTAGACTTCCTGATCCTTCTTGTTCCAAGCCATCTAAGTTTCTGAAACTTGCTTCCTGGTTCAATGCCAGATCAGTTTCTTAGGTGCCTTGGCACAGATCTCCAAACCTACCCCTAGCTCTTTAAGCTATTCATATTTGAAATCTTCTCAAAGCAGGAATCCAGAGGCCCACTTTGGAATCTTGACTCTGGCAAGTTTTGGTATTTTAATTCCTGTCTACAGTCAGGCATTTTGGGATTTTTGTTTATGTATATACATCCTCTCAGCTCTCAAGAGATCTACAGTGCCATCCCATAGGTCTGGGCCTCCATTTACTTATTAATGCAGTGTGGAAATACTGAGGCTATGGCAAACAACTGCCTAGCCAATGCTGTGATACTGGACATACTGAAGAAGGAAAGGGACTATTAAAAAGGTTCTGCTTCACTTCTGCATTTAAAGATTTTTTTTAAAGAATGTAAAAGAGTGGAAAGATGGTAGAATTGGTTGTTTTTAGCTGAGATTGTATTAACAACTTACTTTCATTTTGGCTAGAGTATTTAGAGTAGAATATTTGTGTACTCTGACTTATTTATAGACAGGGTCTCATGTAAGGCTGGCCTCCAGCCTGCTATATAGTCAATGATGACCTTGTATTGCTATTATATATGTATGTATGTGTGCTCGTGTGCATGCGCATTTGTGTGTGTGCACTATGGCACACATGAAGAGGTTAAAAACAATTTTTAGAAGTCAATTCTCTCTATATATCAACCAAACTCAGGTTATTAGGCTTGGTGTCAAGTGTCCTTTCTGACTAAACTATCAAATTAGTTCTTGACCTTGGATTTCTGATCCTCCTGCCTCTCTACTCCTAAGGGAGTATGTACCGTCATACTTGGGTTTGCATCCCTGGGACTCAAACTAAGCTATACACCATCCTTCAACTACAGTTATTGAACTTACTGTCATACTTCTCTGTGGTACTGAAGACTGAACACAGGCCTCATGAATTCTAGACAAGCACTCTATAACTTAGCCACATTTTACAGTCATCTAGACCTTGAACCTATGCTGTAGCCCAGGTCGGATTTGAACTTGGACGCCTCTTAGGCCTGTACCACCTGGTGTAGCTTCAGCTCCAGTTTTCAGATGAAGATATGTGATGTTACAGTAGAAAAGAATGGAAGTGGGGTGTGGTGGTACACGCCTGTTATCTAAGCACTGCGACAGAGAGGCAAGAGGGTCTGGAGTTCAAGGTCATCTTTGGCTACAAAGAGAGTTTGTGGCTAACCTGCTATGTGAGACCCTGTCTCAAAAACTAATAACTAAAAAAGAAAGAAAATAGGAATTTGAAGTCAAGTGAAATAAGTTCACATTAGCCCTTGCCCTTTTCAGCTGTGTTACCATGTGCATATAGTTGAAACTATATTACTTCTGGGTTGCTCTGTCTGTAAAATGGGGATAAATGGGGTTGGAGAAATAACTCAATAGTTAAGAGCACTTGACCCAAGTCCAGTTCCCAGCACCTGTAGTTGCAGACAGTTATAAGTATATAGACAGGTATAACTGTTTATAACTATAGGAGATCTGACACTGTCCTCTGAACTGTGCCGACACCCATGTGTACACACACCCAAATAAATAAGAATAAACACTTTAACATGAGAATAATCATATAATGGATGCTTGGGACTCTTGGAGGACAGAATGAGGTCATTTAACACAGTCTGCTCTGATACAAGCCCTAGGTCAATCTCAAATGTTTGTCATGACAGGACCCAAGTAGAAGCGCCTTATATCTGCAGAGATTATTGTAAATTGTGGCTGATGACTGTGGCCATTCTGCTGTCCCCACAGAAGTGTATGCAGAAAGACTTTTTTTTTTTTTTTTTTTTTGAGGCAGGGTTTCTCTGTGTAGCCTTGGCTGTCCTGGATCTGCTTTGTAGACCAGGCTAGCATCAAACTCACAGAGATCTGCTGGCCTCTGCCTCCCAGAGTGCTGGGATTAAAGGCCTGTGCCACAAAGCTCCGCTAGACACTTTTTAAGTGCCCTGCCTCCTGTGCCCTTTTTCATTTCTAAGGATTGAACTAGGGCCTCATGAATGCTAGAAAACTATCTAGTATTTTATCACTTGAAATAGAGTCTAAGAAATTGCTTCTACTAACCCTTTCCTCTCCAACCCTTAGTGGGTAGCCCAGGCTAGCCTCAAAGTTGAGCTCCTTTTGTCTCTGCTCAACCTCCTACCCACCTTTGACAGCATTTTCCCATGAGCAGTGAGGTGTTTTTTTAATAACTCAGTTGGAAAATGCATAGTGACATTTCACTGTGGCAAGATCTATAAAAATATTGCTTTCAACTGACTGTAATTAATTAAGGGAGACATGAAGACAAGGTGCCTTTTGAGAAAGCTCAGGGCTTTTGAAGAGCATTGTGGTCTGTTATCAGGACCATGCCTTAAAGGATGATCAAAGACTTGGGGAGGGAATCGGGGGAAGATGGCCTAGAGTATGTGTGTGGCGAGGTGGAGGATAAGGGGAGGGAAAGGGTGCCAGAGGTGTCCGGGGTAGTCAAAGCTGCAGTAAAGCAGACAGCCCAGGCTGAAATCTTCCCAGAAGCGCCGGAAGATAACTGTTTTTCACAAGTCTAAGAATGTGAAGCGACTAGCAAGCAGA